CACCGAAGCGTTGGTACCGCGTACCGGCGTACTGCTGATGTTATTTAGGGGGTAGTATGGAAAATTCGAAACTGTGGTGGAAATTTGGGGAAATTTTAGGGTCCGGACTTGTGGTCGTAGCATAGCTGTTGATATAGAAAATTTCTTCTGGCCTTCGTACTGATTTATTCGGGATTGTTGGGCAGTTTGTTCCTGTTCGGAAGCCGTGTCATCACCATCGTGGTAGCCGGTTCCCAACGGTATGCGATATACGCAAATCGCCCCGCTGCCTTGTGGGTCACGTCGTTAGACCAAAGGCTCCGGGTGGGATCCACTAAGCCAAGGTTCTTCCTTGAGATGGGAAATCGGAAAACCACATGACCACACAAAATATGGACCAAAGATTCAACGACATTCTGCTCCCTCTGCTCTTTGAAAAACCCTATTCTCGGCCGAGGTGTTGGCAGACGAACATGCCATATCGCGCTCTACCGCACCACAGTTCGGTTAGTTTATTTCACGTTTGTCCAACTCCCTCATCCTTAGTAGCCTCTTCCGTTTTCGAGTCCACAACACCGTGTCGCCTTGGAGCTAGGGTGCCGCCAAGTAGTACTAGCGAATCTTTTTCTAGCTGCTGGGTTCCAATTCAAGCTGGCAACCTTTAACGTACGGACGCTGACGTAGATCTAATCACAAGCAGTTCTTGCTCGCACGTTTGAAACTACTGCCACTGATGTCTGCGGACTCGCTGAAACCCGATTACAGGACCTTAGTACAAGGCAAAGACTGGTTTCGCCATCCGCGAATTGCACAGGCATTTTCACATTGCGCTTATCTTGAGCCGCTGGTCTTTCCGGCGTGCATATTGCGCTGAGCACATGTGCTGAAGCCGCGCTATTGGACTGGATCCCTGTCAACAGTAGACTCTGAGCGATCCGACTTGAGACTACACTGCGACTTTCCACCCGTTATAGCAGCATACGCTCCCACAGACCGCAGCCCGGAGTCAGTTAAAGACTAGTTCTACCGTCAACTATCCGACCATCTGCGGAAAAAGCACCGTAGATACATCGTGATGCTTGCGGAAGACTTAGACGTGCATGATGCTTGACTTGAGGTTGAATGGCGTGAAGTCGGAGGTCAACATGGCCATGGCCCTCGAAGAACAGATAACGATGATCGTCTGCTTCACCTTTGAACCGATCACGAATCATACTGTCGAGTAGTAGCTTTCGGCGATCATGGCCCTTACGCGCAACCTAGAAGCCGTCGTTACCTGGCCACGCAAAGAAAACAGATGGACCACATCACCATAAGTTATCACTCGCGCGGTTGCAAATCAATCTAGAGTGCTTACTTCGGAACACGTGCTCGTATGCGCCAAGGTTACGTTTTGGTGGCTGTTGTAACCGATTTATCACCATGTCACTACTCCTGTTTCATCGGCTAGCTGAAACACAGCAACTCTTTTCTCCTTGGTTAAAAGTGAGTATTTGGTGTGTTGAGACCGTTAGCCATTGACTGGAAACAAATACACATTCTGCTTCTGTCTGTTGCCTTCTTTATACAACATTTGGCAGCATGAGCACAAGGAAGAACCATTTCAGTCAGCCCCATCTCCATTCTGGACTGATTTCAGTATCAGACCAACAGATACCTGGCTCCGTTAGAAAATTACTTGGATTTTGAAGAGATTGAAGCTGCTTCGACATTTACTCGGAGATGAGGAGCAGCGAGTTTGATGATTCGGGCCTTCAAGGATGTAAATCCGTTTAAGAAACTTTCAGTGTTCTCCATCGCACATGGGGTTACCAAATGAATGGGTTTACTGCGAGACACATTTTCCCCGTATGCATCAGGAAACAGCTGAAACCTTGAACGATACAGATCCCCCAGATCTTCGAAGCCTGTCGATCGATAACAGACCGCGTGACGCGGCTCTTCAAGTTGGGGAGTTGTTGTTGTGTCACTACTCATGTTTTATTGGCTGGATGAAACACAGCAACTCTCTTCTTATTGGTTGTGTGAAATATAGACGGTTAAAACTGATTATTCTGTGTGTCTGATTGAGTACGACTAAACATCTAGGCTTTTATTCTGTTGTCTTTTAGATACGGCAGTGGCTCCCAACGGCGTCGCCGTACATGATTTGAAGTGGCCAAACTTTTCGGTCCCAAGCGTTCTCTACGCGTTTCTTTATAAGCTGGCTTCAAATCTCAGGATCGTCTCACACCGAAACGCAATGGGTATATATATGTAACGCTACGCGCAACTCTGATCTGTGTTCTCACCAGTAGCCTTATCCACCACTAGACGATCTCTCCAAATCCTCGAAGTTTATTGGGAAATTCCAGATGGCAATGAGTATCATCCACTGCGCAGAACTGCTAACGCTGAACTCAAACAGCACCTTCGGGAGGATCGCGAGGCTTGGTGGACGCAACGGGTCGTTGCTGGGGAGCAAGCGGTCAGCTCGGGGAATTTCCGAAAGCTTTTCCACCTGATCAGATTCACTGGCGGCAAAAGACCGATTGTAAGCGAAGTTTTGTGCGAAATAAATGGCGAACGAATCCATTGCCAATCACGTCGAATTGTGCGTTAAGCTGAGCACTTTGAGCAGCAGTTCAATAAGTTTGCAGCACCAGTAATTCCAAATTCCGGAATCTGTATTGCCCCCTAGTGTGTAGACGCTTCACCACCTTCTGAGGCTGAAATTGCACATAAGCCTCGCCACCTAAAGCGCTACATAGCCTCTGGCTCGGACGAACTCCGACCGGCTCTTTCCAAAGATGGAGGTACACTACATGATTGGGAGCTAACTTTCTTCCTCCAAAACGTTTGGACCACTGAAGCGATCCCGTCTGATTGGAGTCTAGCGGATATTGTGCCCGGATAGACTACGCTAACCAAAGAGGGATTAGTCTCATCTGCATTGCATTTAAAGTGCTCGCCGCCCTGCTTTTAAGGACACAGCCTGGTACGCGAACAAAACATAAGCAAAGATAAATTTGGGTTCCGTTCCGGCCGGAGTTGCATCGCTAACATTTGTAGAGTCCGCTAAATACTCGAGGGTCGTCAAGTGTTTGGTCAGCCAATGATCGTTTTCTTCTTAGACACACCATCCGCGTTTGACACAGTTGACCGTGGTGCTGTCTAGAGTAGTCTCTTGAAAAGTGGAGTGCCTGAGAAGTATGTTAACATTCTCTGAGCCATCCACTCTCGAACACCGGGCCGAGTGCGGGTGTAAGGCGAACTTTCGCCGCCCTTTAGTATCACCAGCGGCGTGAGACATCCCTGCCCTGCCCTGCAGAGTACTCTGGAGTATTGCGGAGCCAGTAGCGTTAAACTTCTTAGAGGAGGAACGACTACGAGATTTGAAGTATGCATACGAAATCGCTGTAAGTTGCGATTCTGTATAGGCCGACAAGGATGTGCTGAGCAGGTTAGCGGTGTCTGCCTCCCAGTTTGGAATGACTTTCATCCCTTCGAAGTGTAAGGTCTTCGTACATGGTTGGCTAGGATCTGCTCACACCGTTTCCCCTTTTAGACCAATCTTTGGAAGTTCGTTTACCTCGGAAGCTGCATCAGCACTAACAGTTTAACAAATGTGGTCCCATTGCGCGACTCTAAGGTATGGGTTACGTTTGCTGATCTCCGCCATCTCTGGTGCCGTCGCGACCTGAATTTATCCTTGAATGCCCAAATCTACAATGCCACGGTGAGAGCAGTCCTGCTCTACGGTTGTGAGACTTGGCCTGATCGCTCAAAGGACGGACAGAGGCTGTCTGCCCATTGCCTTCAGAACATTGCTGGTGTACGGTGGCAAAAAAACATAGTAATGAGGATGTTCGCTGAAGGATTTTCAAATCGGAAAGACGCTGCCGGCTGCATCGATGACTTGGGCACGTGCTTCGCATGCCTTACTGTGCAGTCTTTGCGGGCACAGAAGTAGGCTGGAATCGAAGACAGGTGGCCAGCGAATGAGTCAGGTCAAAAATAAGAAGGCGTTGACGTCACATTTGTCCGCGGTCACGCGCTCTCGACTAACCGGTGGCGGGCGCAATGATAAAGAAAACATTTGGCTGGAAACCCTTATGGACATGTCAAGAAACCGTCAGCAATGGCGAACAAGTTGTGACACTCTGTCCCCATGACTCCAGTTTGAACAATATTACCTTGTCTATTTTCTTATTTCTGTTGTATCATGTTTGTCCACAAGTTGTGGTACTCTGCTAATTGTACTAGTGGTCGTGTTCAATATATATATATATACATATATATATATATATATATATATATATATATATATATAAACCATACAGCAACTCGATGTACACGTTGAAAAGAGGCCGCAGGCTGAAACCCTATGCAGCCGAAACCGATCGAATGTTACAAATGTGTGAAAGGGACTAGCAGAAACTTGAAACTAAATCAAAGGGCACTGTTTCAGTGGAGTATATTCGTAGCCAATATTGTAAAGCCATATATAAGAAAAATGAACGTAGAATAGAAACCGACATCGGAAATAGCTTCTGTGCGTTAGAGAAAAAGCACGGTTGGAAGCGCATCGTTAATCACTTGACAGGAAGACAATAAAGGTAGGTAAGAAATGGGAGGAAGACGATTTGCTCGGCTGACTGGTAGGGGGCATCGTGTGTCAATTATGGAAGTACATCAACTATTGATGGGGTAGAAGAAGGAGTTCGATCGAGTGCAGCATGAAAGCAAGTGAGAACGCTATGGGATGCGGTGGTGTTCAAGCCACTGAGTGATAGTGGCGAGGATAAACACAAGGCAACCGAGAAATAAATGCAATATAACCGGAACATTTGATAAAAATTGAAAAAAGGAGGCTAACGACGGGAAAAAAAGAGTAGTGGCGAAACGTATTGCACAACGAGACATGTACCCGCAATGGTAGGAAGAAAGCAACAGTTGAACAAGCAGAATGCAAAAAAAGAACTACGGAAGACGACAAACGCAGGTCGCAAATAGACCTCATGTGTTGCTGACTGATGTGTTTATTCGATGAAACCTGAAAGAGAAAAATACAAAGATGAAGAGAATTAGTACGGAAGAGCAATTCACAATTGGTAAAACAGAGCTTCCAGTGGAAACAGTATGATGTACACAGTTATGGAGGTCAACGTAGTCCAGCATTAGCTAACAATGAAAGAACCGGGTGTTCTGAATTAATTGTATGTACAGCACATTTCAGGATCTAAGAGCTATTTCCCGTGAGCGTATTCCTGAGGCATGTTGTGTACGGGTGGTTATAAGGAATGGTGGTCACGCGGAAAAAATTGTCAATTCGGAGAGCTAGGGCAACATTGAAGAAGATAATCATACGGTCATAAAGGTAACTATTAGAACAGTAGTATGAAAGGAGCAAAACCCATCGACAAGCAAGTAGATGAGCAAACAAGTGCACAGAAGAAAGTTGTAGCAAGGTACCGGGCCCGTCAGTTAGCAAAATAAGCATACAGGTAAGTGAGCAACACTCAGTGAAAGAAGATATATAAGACTGCTAATGTGTGTTAAACAATGTACAATTAAGGATGCCATGTGACTCGAGCACAAAGATGACGACAGGGGAAAGGATCAACTGAGAATGTGGCAGTGGTAGCGGAACACTGCTCTATGACAAATTGTTCTCGTACTAACTTCCGCGGTAGTAGCTAGTCAGGATGAACGGACACTGTACGGTACTGGCGGACATAAAACGAATCAAACCGGCCAAGAGTGAACAAGTCAGAAGGAGTAGTTGGTGCCGCTTAGCTTAGAAGAACATCCCCACACAACCTCATATTGAGACGTGGAATGGGTGGAGCGCAGTGAACAAACAACACCTGAGGGTCGATGATCTCGAACATTTGGTAGATGACGACGGCGAGAACTACCTAATGAGTAACAGTGACATTGGAACGGAGATTAAAAATTAACGCACGGTATAAATATCCCTGCTGGTCCACTCAGATCTATTTCAATGCCACAGGGCTTTATGACACGGATCAAAGTTGATGCAAACCTGAGAAGGGTAATTTATTGAGAGCAGACACAAACTAAAAGACCTTATGATCGAGAGCAGGCCAAAAGGTGTGAGGGAAGCATATTACTGGGTGGATCGCAATGCAATTTAAAGATAAGCCTCATTAAAAGTGGATACGAACCGTTTCGATGCAAACAATTAGTAATAATCAGACCCAAAAAGGAACAGAAGATAAGATTACTAGGAACGAATAAGGCTCCACAACCAAATGGATCAATCAATGAAACCAGAGAAGGAAATTGTAGTGACAACTAAGGCGAACTCAAAATGGCAGAAAGCAATGGTAGAAATAATACCAAATTATTCGCACTTGTGATCGCGTCATCCTTCTGCAAGGCACACAGTGGTTTGGTGGCTGACAGCTGAGAGCGAGTTTGATTCCGCTGGGAGGAATTTGCACGAGTAAGAGGTGGGGACACAAAGCCTAAACTGGAATTCGAAACAGTGGGATGAACTGAACTAGGCTCACAGCTGCCTTGACGATGCAGAAATCGTTGGGGCAATCGTGAGTACTGGGCGTAGGGGGGAGGTTGGTTTGGAAGCACTTTTATACCAAACATCAGCTGGTTTGTCTTCGAGTAAGAAGGCGCAGGGATGGTGGCCAAGGGTGGTGGGACAAGTGCTGGAGACATATGGATCAGCCGCTCAGCTCGAGGAGGCCCATTCGAGTGTGAGGACGGGACGGATACGGGTGAGTACTGAGAAGTCGGAGGCATTCTGGAAGAACGCGCATGATGATTTCCAGAAGGCAACCAACAGTCTGACCCATTGGATCGCAAGGGGGCGTTAGTGGCGCCGTCCGTGTGAGCAAATATTGAGCTGGAAACCCGTTGAATTCCGGCCTCAATTCCATTTTGATGTGGGTGGTTAGGCAGGTGAAAAGGGAACGCAGCATTCTGACTGGCCATGGAAGTCCTCAGATGGGTTAATTCTCTGCTAACACTACTAGAACGCCGAGGAGGGTTTGCAGGTTTCGGTCGAGTGCCACGTTCGGGGTACTCAGCATAGGTCTGGAAAGTAAAATAAAGGAGGTAAGGAGTATCTACGCAATGTGGCGGTAGACTACGAGACACACTTCTGATGAGATAGAAACACAAGAATGATCGCAGATACAAGAGCACAATGATGACTGCCATTGGCATACCTAATGAAAAAAGGTTTCCGGTTTGCGCCCCTCAAAAAGGGGGAAAATGGCATGTCACAAGAGCGTTGGCATGACTTCGAGAGACTCTAAAAGTTGCCTGAGAGGTGTCTGGGCATTATCTAACGTATCGTTCCAATCTCGGCGAATGCGCAGCTTACATGTCACCTCGATCGGTGGCGGCTTGCAAAGGAGGCAGTAGCACTAGGGGTAAATCCTATCCTCTGCACGTTCATAACATGCATGACAGTGGAGGATGAGCTACGATATGCCGCAGTTAGACAGCAGTCATTGCATCCGCTTCCGTCACCCCTGGCTCAGTGGCATAAGACAGTGGATCGTAACAGTAAGGTCGTGGGTTCGAATCGGGAAGGATTCAGTGGGCGCGCGCTACTGACGAGTCCCAATAGAACGGAACGGCCATGTAGCGCCTTTCTGAATATATGATGGCTGTCTGCTGAGTCTAGCTGCGACAAATCTTCGTAAAACCTCCCACACACAGTAGAGATTAGTAGATGTAAGCTGTAAAGAGATGGTGATCGCTATTAAGGTAGATGATGATGAACGAGGCAATCATCCAGTGCAAGGCACCAAAGGAACTAACAGAAGAAAGATTAACATCACAATGCAGTGCAGCCTCTCTTGGATGCTTGCTGCGGAGAAAGACGGTGAACAAGACGACTCTACCCACTATTAAGTAGCTAGTGACCGACTTCGCCACTCCATTTAGAACAACCCTGTAATATTTAAAAGTGGCTTGTTTTAAGGCTGAGGAGACTTCCGTGCTATCAAGGGTAATTCCATGAACGAAGCAGTGTTGCGGGGATTTAGAATAACTTTAATATTAACAGGTATATCCCACATTAAGTGAGAAGCTGCATCTGGCACAGATCACACAAGTACATGTAGTATCATTCTCTTTCATGAGCAATAGGCATTTATGTGTTGTCTTCGTCTGTATGTTTCGTTCTATGTATGGGTTGGACGCGGATACCGAAGCAGCTGTTAGATGGTCAGCTGAGTGTGGGGAAGCGGCATGTGGGAAAACTGAATCTTCGTTACCAAGATATGATCAAAGTGAGTCTATCACGTTCTGATATTGATTTCAGGTATTGGGAATCTAAGGCAGTTGGTTGGTGTGCATGGCACGATCTGATCACGAACGTAGTTGACGAGATACAGAAAGCCCTCGCGTATGCGGAAAAGTAGCGGCAGGTGTGGAAGCTACAGGTGCCGATGTAGTGTACTCCACAGACGTCGAGCGCATGGTGCTGTTGCACATTCCGCCGCGAATGCTTGAGTCAGGCAGGTCTAGCGAGCCGTAAGCGAGGCCACTCGAGACCAGTATCGAAACGACGACGGGTCATGCTATGAACGTAAGCAGAACCGGCGCAGCGTTGGTAGGTACCCTGCACGTGCTTGCATTCGACTTAATGACGTGTCCTTGTGTACTAAGTTTCTTTATTTCAGGTTGTTTTATCATATTGTCTTAATACGTATTTTATTATGTCGTTTTATTGTATACCTGAATACCTAACTTACTTGCACATGCCGCTTACACGAAACGTGGTTAACTCCGTCGATTTGTTCGCGCTTATTGCATATTTTTGATCTTTTCCTGCATTGAATTTGTTGATAACGCATTTATTCCATATACTAATTTAGCCAAGAGTTATGTCGGCATATCCGTGTGCTTTGTTCGATACACTTTATTTGATATTGTCACTTCATGTGATTGGCTGTCGCTTGACATCCCCGGTGTGACTGCGCTTGATGGGAATGTTGACAAGGTGACTTTCTGCCTAACAACCTCCACTTTGATTGCTGGCTCCAGGAGACTGCGAATCCTTGCTGGGGGCGGAGTGCACGGTCCTCGTGGTCGTGCTAAGCGCAAAGAGTGGTTTCATGCACTCATTGTGGAGCGGACTACGGTATAGTCCCCGCCTTGTGTACGTCTGGTGCACATGATTCCCCAATCAGGCATGAATGCATCTGCTTGCATGTTGAAGGAGTGTAGGCTGGATCAACTGATGAAACGTGGCCCCCCTATCCACATGCCTCCCGGTCTTATTCCTCCGGGTTTACATTGCATACGAGGTGTGTGGATGGAGTTGTGGGCGGTGTAGCACAGGCCACCCATGGTCAGTCCGTAGGCGAAGGCGTCCTGTAGCTGTCCTATGGAGGACGCAGTGACGGGTAAATCCGGATACGGATGCCGCCAACCATGTCGTACATAATTATGTTTTACTGTACGGCATCAATGCCCTCTGAGCGCATTACAAACAATGATGGCTACCAACATTTTATGAATTTCCACTAATTCACCCACCAAATGTTAGCTAAGTCCTCTTTAAGTGGTTCACCAACTGATCTCCCTCGAAAAGAAAATAGTCATAATCAAGTTTATATCGAGATAGCTACCAAGATGATTACGAGATGATTAAGCACTCTCACACGACCTGAAAGTGAAAAGGAGCCGACGACACAGGGAAGCATATTTGATGTGAAAGAAGTTGGACCGCATATTTGTTCGGCGCCTTGGTACAAACAGCTTGCATTTCTTATTACAAGACCTCAGGTAGGACTGCAGTGCAGTGATAATGCGTTAAACGGTAGTGCACTTGCGAATGTCAATGAAACTGCAACGAGAGACGGAACTTGACCAGGCCGGTTGTCAATTGAGTCTTTAATAAAACTACCAAAGTTGAACCTACACCACGATGTGAACAACGTTCCGTCCAGGTAAGCACTTCCATCTGGAAATGTGTCCAGTGTGATCCCCGCTTATGAGTTAGTTCGTTGTTTCATTGCTCGAAGCATGTACACACAAAGCAGTTAGCTGAATATACACGTTTAAAATGGATAGAAGATTGATGAGCTTTACCCGACTGGTTATTCGTTCGAAGACCTCTAACATGTGCTGGAGCACATGCCTTAGATAGGAATAGACGTTAAGTGCTTTTACAAGGTAACAAATGGACGGAAAATGCGCTGATTCCTCCGGAAAAAAAGAAAGCACCTGGTTTCCGCGACGAGTAAGGCACGGGGTGACAGAGGTGCCGTCCAAAAATTGTCTACCTCCCACATCGGTTGGGGGACTGTCCACGGAACCACTGTGGAGCTTTCGACCATATTCGGACTGTCGGCGACGGAAGGTAGATGTGCACGAATTGACGCAGGTGGTGACAAATTCGTTTGTGGTATCTACGGAGACTGAGGTGCACGTCTGACCACTCACAGAGACAACATGTCCGAGAGAGAGGGATTCCATCATCGATGATTCTAGCATAATGAAGAAGAAACGTGATCACACTCAGAGCTATTACACGTCCAACGTGCAATCGCCTTCCATAGAAATTCCGAGAAAAACAAATAGGATACTGCAAAGCATCACTGACGTGAAAAAAGCTGTCTAGTACGGGTAGTTGTCATAAATCGTTTCAGATAGTAGTGATGGACGGATAAGTACATCAAGTCTAGTCGTACTGGCCGTCAAAAATAAAAAACGTCAGCAAAGTGAAAGTATGAAAATTGAATGAAATATGTCATTGGTAAGACAACACCAGTCCCGAGTTTCAAGGTTATTAGTCAGAAGCGAAAGCAAGGCTTACAGTAGGCCACATTGAGGAACTGGGAGCTTTTAAGACAAAAATGGCGTGTGGGTCATGTCGTCTGAAAAAATAGCCAAAAATCCAACACCAGCTTCCAACAAAAAGGACGATGGGTCCAAGGAATGTAGTGCACGTGTAGGTTATAAAAAAGCAATACATCAGGAAATTCAGCAACGATTCACTGACGAAGCAGTTCGGCTAGATTTTGCTTTGGATAAAGATATTCGGGGAAAATAACGCGAAACGTAACGAGTAGAGGAGACGAAAACAATCGTGCAGTGGAAGGACAAACATGAGGAAGATAGGAAGAGATAAGCAAACGCTAATTGAAGGATTTCACATAATCTGGATTACGACCCCAAGTATCCACATCGCCGACGTACGCTAATGTGGCCAATCAACCAAAGAGCTAGAAGGTTCAGTGGTAAAAGGGAAGGTGAGTGTTGTTTATGATCATGTTGACATGAAGTAGAAAAACGGGCTGAACATCATGCACCCCGTTTGGTGAAGCATCGAAAAGGCGAGAAAACTTCCTACAGACTTTAATAGTCTCCGACACACCCAATCAAAAACAAGCGAAGACGAATGGACAAGTTTCGACTCAGACAGTACGGTAATGGTAAGTCATCTCCAAGCTGTAAGAAGTAGTCTGACTCTCTTTCTTGCAAGTGCCAATGATTCCAATCCTGATGTTGCAGCAATCCAGTAGTTATATACCTATTCCCATAACTGTCCCTCCTTCCGATCGCGCGTTGGCATGTTCAAGTATTTCTATTAAGTTGTGCACTGACGTACTTGTTTCACTTCACAATCCGCGATATCGTAGCCATATTTGTTGATAAATTGTTCTCTTGTCCGTTGCGCGACACGAGTTAATCGTTCCCGCATGTACAGCTCACGTGCAATTACATACAGTTTCGCATCGATCACTATTATGTGTTTACTTATTATTCTGTAACGATCACCATTACTGGTTTACACTTTCATCTATAACTGTGTACCTGTGACCTATATGGTGAATGCTCCAAGCAGATTGACCTAAACCAAGTATAATTCTCACCTGTACATGCAAGCAACCAATCCCATCAGTTCCACTGTTCTATAAACATGCTGTGCAATTGCGGTGCCAACAATTTGAAACACCGTCTTATTGGTGCTCGGACCGAAGTGCATGGCGTTGCAGCCGCTTTGAGTTAGGATCGCTTTTGTGGCAAGTTTCTTTAATGCCTACTAATTTGTCGGAAAAAACCACTGTGATGTAGCAATAGTAATAGCAAAAGGGTAGATGCAAGAGCTTTAAAAAGTTGAGGAACCATAATAGTGCGACTCCAACATGATTAGCTGGAAAAGTGTGCTCAAACGACGAGGGGATAACCTCAGCGTTCGCATGAATAATGTTGCGACTTGGTGGTGTCAATAAAAACAAGAAAGCGTACACAATGTGGACCCAGGCAACTGGGTAAAAAACGATCACGCAAAAAGCAGGCTGGACGTGATTTCGCAAAACATTCCCGTGGAACTCTGAACCGAGCGAATGCGAAATTCCGGTAGTTCGTCAGCTTCTTTACACGCATCTGATCTAGTTGCGGAGTGAACGGTAGTTAGGCATTCCAAATGGTCACAGCATTTTGCCTGCGAAGAGTCCTCGGTCGGTTAGCGAAACAAAATCACGGAATTGGTAGAAATGTACAAGTTAAATACGCTACTTATGGAGAGCCAAGTAGTATTAAATTCAGCTGTAAACGGAGGGCAAGAACAAAACGGTACGAGGAAAGGACGCAACCAAACCTGGGTGCTACGCCACAAGTTTGTGAACAACATGGTGCGGAGGGATAATTATCAAGCCTGCAAGTTGCCGCAGTCTATCGTGATCAAAGCGAAGGTGGTAGGGCTAGTGAATAGAAAACACTCAATAGTGAGTGACTTTTCGAGTGTAATTACTTGGTGTATTCTACTGTATTCAATCAACAGAGCTGATGCCCTGAAAATGACATGGAGATGTTGGCGTTGATGCAAGCTGTGCACATAATCAAAGGAGTGAGTGTTTGATGTTTATCCTCAAGTGACATATGAGGCCTGATGGTGGTCAATATAAATGTCCGGAAGATTCTTAATAGTCTATTGGTGTATCTTCAATTACTGACTAGAATGTAGCTGAGACTAGAGAAGGCAGGTTACACTGTCTGTATAGCAGTATTCGGCTAAAAAGATGGTTCCATCATGGAACGGGCCATGACACGCTTCAATCACCAAATGAACTATCAGCATGTGCACACTGAGAGAATGTGAGCCGACTTCTAAGAAATTGTGACTTACATTAGTCTTACTCTTTCGAAATTGCAAAGGATAGAGGTGTTTGTATGAAACTGTGAGTGATGCAGTACAAACAACCCATGGTCGCTTTGTAGACGGTAGTGTCCCACTGCCGCACGCAGGAAAAGTCGGAAACAGAGGCCGACAGGAGCATGAAACCAGACAACCGGGTGAACATTTAGGAGAAGGAGAACCAACTTCTGTACCCACAAATCGGTGTTGGAAATGCAATAATGTTGAGTGTAAAGCATAAACCTCACATATCTCAACCCAGACTCGACTAGCCGTGGTAGGCAACATGCCGGGCAACAACCGTGACATAGATGATGTGAAAGTTGTCTGCATGCGCGATGCACACAGAGACTAATTTCCAGACAATGGGTCATACATGGTCATTCAAAGATGATCACTACATTCACATTTATCCCAACGTAAGTGTTGTGTAGTCAGACACAATGTATCATTGTGCAGGGGATACGGGTGAAAAATTGAGAAATAGCGCCGCAGTGGACAGAAAAGGAGCAGATAGGCGCGGATGAGAAGTAAACAATCGTTTCTGCAAAATGAGTTCAACAGTAGCCCAATGTGGAATCGATGCAGCCGTACAAAATGTAACGAAATGCAAGATTTCACTATGAAAGAATCTTAAAAATAAGGGGTAAAGTTGATACCGACGCACCTGTTGTGTCTTGATGTGATGGCAAAGCGTCGAACGCAAGCTCACGGTGCGCTTGCGTGTCCGAATCAGGTGGCGGTGGAATCGACATAGGCTGCTGGGACTCCGATGGAATGGTGGTGCTGAATTTGCGAGCAGCAGCCATCTGAAGCTCGTTCAAGTTGGTGTACACCGGAGCCGGAATTGCTTGGTCCGGATATAGAATAGACGAGGGTTTCTCTGCAAGACAAACAAAGGGATTAAAAATGAGCGTATAAAAGATGATCACCAAAGACAGGCTTCCACTGGTGCTCATTCTCCGTTTAGATGCGAAACATGACAGGAAGACCAAATACGAACAACGGAAAAATGGTTTTGGACGAGTAAAAAGCACCAGCTTAACATGTCCGTGGGTTGGCAAAAAAAGAAAAGGCACTGAATATAATGCACACCGGTGAATCGATCGAGCAATGGTACGAAAACATTGAGGATGTTGCGGTCAGATAGTACCATGCAAAAAGAAGCAACATGTGATTAGTTAGTGCCAATAAAAAACGATAATAATAATAATAATAATAATAATAATGTGCCACCTGTACGCCGTAACGGACCTTAGGGTTGCAAACCAGGTGCGCAGACCACTCGGCCACCAGCCGAGACCGCTCACCAATCTACACAGATTTTTACATGCTTCATTGTGAGTTATAATTCCAAAGAAGCTAGTTAGCCTGAATAGATAAAAAGCATCTGCTCACGCAATAGGATGTAGGGAGCGTTCCAGGGTTGGCAGACACGAAAGGAGAATTACGTTCATCGACAATCTAGATGGTTGTATTGTTGACTCAGTTTTAGGCTATTGCCTCTGAGGTTGGTGTTAGAGATAAATTTCATACGTGACTGCAGTTGCTCAGTATTTCGTAAACTAATATGATGTCCTCACTAAGTCGCCGGTATTGTCTACTGACAACTTCGAGTGTCCTCAGTGGTTCTTTGTTCGGAAGGTGCCGAAGACACTTGACATTTTTGTAGCTCAACGTTGTGGGGTATCGAGCGTTGCGAGGTCGCGCTTTAGCCATGCCTGGATAGCGTATTCAATGTGGAGACGCACGTAAACATTGAGTATCGGAGTTTGGATGTATCCAAACTTCCGAATGCACTCCACATGAGACCAACATGCTGGTTACCTCTTTTTGAAGCCGACGCTGACTGTCTGGAACAATCGAGGTCGTACTGCACCAGCACACCGAGGTCACGTTATTCAAAACTTGTCTGTCGGGCGTGTGTCTTAAGCTAGCAGATGTTGGCGTGCCGAAAAAAACGTTATCAGCAATACGCGAGTACGTGGTAAGGACGCTTCGGTGCCGCGCAACCACCACAAGTTGCACGTGGGATAAGGATACTGCAAGGATCATCCGGTCCTACCGCAGGCTCAAACCCGCGCCCTCCATTTACAAGGCAGGCTTGCGGTCCGTAACGCTACGAGCCGGAGTGTGGATGACGGATGTGGAAAACGCAGCACTTGCTTACATAAGTGGCAGTGCGTTCCTCACCGGCCAAATCCAGGCCTCATCGAGTTTGTGCTGGAGGACTTCGTGGCTGTCCGATCCCTTCATCGCCCGTCAAATGTTAACGTAGTCCGCGAAGAGTAAAAGTTTGGTAGTGGTAAGTCTCGCTAGATCGTTATTAAAAACTAACATGCGAGGCCCAAATACCGAATCCTGCGGTATGCCGCGCTCGACTCGAATCGGGCCGGACAAAGAGGTCCACAATCTAGCCTCCAATTGCTGTTCGCCAAGAATATTACCGATAGATCCCGAATAGTGAAGAGTATTCCCTTGCAACGTTTCTCATCTTCCAATACGCGTTCAGATCAATAATTACGATTTTCAGATCGGTAAATTTTGCTGCTTTATCGTACCGCTTTTAACTGTTACTCTAATACATTTGTAGTGCTTTTGTGCTCTCGTCCGACGCCAACTTTGGGAGGTAAGCCACGCTATCGCCCTTCTAGCTCAGTTGCTGTGCTGCGTCAAACTGTGCTATGTGTCAACATTCCTTTCAATATTTCAGCCCACCGATCTACCTCCGCTTCTACTCGGACCGTTGCACATTACAGTTATGTCATCGAGAACAGCTACAAAGCCCAGGTGTCTCTCAACGGTGAGCAGTCCAGTTCCCTCATCGTGAAATCAGACAGTTCCACTTTCTCAAACTTTCTTAATGTCTTGCCATCAGTACTCTAATCCTCGCGGTTTTCCAGCGGAATTAATCACTCGGGCAGAAAAGCAGAAAAAATACGTAACTATGCCAAGTTTCTGAACGACATACTGTGCGACGTGCTAATGTTGATCGGTCTCCAACCAAATTTAAACGCTGACGTCCTGTGGTACTAATTACGAAGATCACTTCCTTAAACAAAAAGGCGTTTGGACGTTCATCACCAGCTCTGGATCATAACCCAAAGGATGGAGGAGTCTGTGGACGACCAGACCGATGAAATGTTGGCATTAGCGTCCCTCATATTACCCACTCGTTTGAGCCACAATACCTGAAGAATTCATGTTAGAGATATCTGTGAAAGGTCGTCGATGTCAAGGAAACAGCCAATTCGATCGCGGCGATATCGGTCACAAAGAAATATGCTACCGCCAGTCAATTTCCATAGCAACAAATACTCAAGGAGGGTATAGTGGTTGCAGACCCTAACAAACGTATTCACATCTACCCCCAGCAGACTGCTAAATTCCATATACAAGGCCGAATAAATTGAGTGCTACTACTGCAATAGAATACGCAAGGAGGATAGCGAATGAAGTCGCAACCGCCAACCAGTCACCGAAAAACCGCCCTTATTTCGCCACATATTGCACGTACAACACATACTATCGAACGAGCCCAGTGTTGTTCCCCTAATACACCACCGAAATTAGCATCCTCAACTGCTCATAAGTTATGATCGAGGATATGCCACTCTGTGTTTTGATCAACACTGGGACTCAATGGTTCTTTACATTTGATATTTCTTCAGCAAACCGACAAGATAATGTAAACCAAAAGAACTGAGAACAGACAGCATTCACAGCATTACACAGCCCGGTCACCAATAACTACAAACCACGCCGTTTGAAGTGACCAACGCACAGAAAGTTCACAGCGTTTAACGCATATTGCGTTAAGAACCTTAGCTCCCAATTAATTGCTAGCATATCTGGACGACGTAAAGTGCATGGTCTCTCAGTAGATGAAAAACTAGACAATCTGGAGATCGTGATGCAACAACAGATGCTGGACTTAAGCTAAAAGTCACGGAAGTATCAATTACAAAAGAGGTAAGTTGCTTTTCCTGAGCACATTATGACACTTCGGGGACAGAAACTGATTTGAGGAAAAATGGAAAATATCCGAGTGTCCGGTACCGACCTCCGCCGAAGGAGTGTGCAGGTTTCCTGGACTAACGTTTTACTACAGTGGTGGCATTCGAAACTTTCCCGACACAGCGAGGTCATTGCATTCATTGACAGAGGAAAGCAGACTGTTGCAGTAGAACCCAAATGTTTCAAAGTGTTTAATGTCTTCCAATGGATCCGCCAGGCTGTGCAGATTGCAGGCAGCTCAAGAAAGCGACTCGTAAGGACTCCTTCTCCCGTCAAGTAGTCGTGGCACTCTAAAAGCCAATGGTGGTTTCTACAACAATTATATATATATATATATATATATATATATATATATATGGTGGGCGGCATCCGGTTTCGGATTTGTCTGTCACTGTGGTCAAGCACAGGACGTCTGTGCCTGTTGAGGGGGACCAGGGTGGTTTGCGCTGCACCAGCAACCAACCACACACCATACATCCAGTGCAAACCCGAAGGAATAAGACCGGGAGGCATGTGGATGGAAGCCACGTTTTATCCACGGACCCGGCCTACACTTCTTCACAGGCCAACACAATGTATTTGGGAATCAATCGCACACAAGGCGGTGGCTGGACCGTAGTCCGCTTCACACTGAGTGCATAGAACCACTCTCCGAGCCTAGCACGGCCACAAGAACCGTGCACCCCGTCCCCTCCAGCAACGACCAACTGTCTCCTGGAGACAGTATGAACGATGTAGTGGGTAATAGACAGGTAGGCACCTTGTCAACATACACATCAAGCGCAACCACACCGGGGATATCAAACAACAGCCATTCACTTTAAACGACAAGCTGAAATAAAATAAATCCAATAATGCATACAGATATGGTGGCATAACTCTTCGCTAAATTACCATATGAAGTAAGTTGGTTAGCAACAAATCCGTGATAAGTAAGAAATGTCCACAAGTTACTTAAAAATACTACGAAACGCAACAAAATTACCGAAGATAAGCGCAATTAGTGTAAGCAAGGTGGCCAGTTAATAGAACATTGTTCAGGGAGGCAGAACAAACCAAATAAAGCGGAATGAAATTTATCCAGCTTAAAAAGACCTAGTTTAAGTGTAAGTTAGTTTAGCCCAACTGCGGTGAAGAAACAGCAAGAATGCAACATCAGCCTCAGCATGGGGCACATATACATACACGGTTGGCGGTATCCGGCGTAAATATAAATATATATATATATATATATATATATATATATATCCGAAGGTGAAATTCAATGCAGAATAGAAGACTCAGAAAAAACGTCAAAACGAAGTGAAACAAAACCGAAGTGAGAGAAAAGGGAGAAAATATCAGGAAGGACTAGAAAATGATGCAAACTGACCGCTTAGAAGGATCGGCAACTAGAGTAACAAAGCCCAGTGTAGAAGCACCACGACCTTAACCGTGGCGCGATGTCTCATACAATAACTATCTTATCGTGCAGTCAACTGCGACGCTCCAGCAGTATAACGCTCAATTACTCCTAGTGCTCATTGGAGAGGTTATCTTGAAACAGCAGTTTTGTGAAAGAGCTGCGACACACAATCTCAATGTGGACGGCAATTCACATCGGCAACTGGGGCTGTAAATGAAGGAGATGGATAAACAGTGTTGCTCACCGGAAAAAATGTACTTTACTGTAGCTTTCTTATGATCACCTTTCAGGTAGAAATAGCAGGCGTTGAACCTGGGGCGTTTGGGGTGTTAGCCGAAATCGCTACCCCAAAGCCCCTGAATGGTGGTAGGCAATGCTTGTCACAACGGTTAAAGGCTGATTGAAGGGGTTATTTTGAAGCTGAGATCCAAATGGTCACAAGTTCCAGTCGCAGGCTTGCTATTACTACGCGAGTGAAGCAAGAAAACGGTCGTGGAGTGCTATGAGCAGGATAAAACTAATACTTATTTACCCAAGGTACACGTTACTATATGATCTATAGTAGCGCCCAGGCAGTAATCAAAAACAGCAATGACGAACACCGTATACAGCAGAGGTAAGGCAGAAAATGTGTGATGTTAACAGTTCCTAACTGCTCAGTTACTCACAATAACTAACACTGTCGGCACCAGGAAGGGAGTGGGTGATAGTGTGCAACAAACAAGTGCCACTATGCGCAGTTTCACTAACAAATAATGTAACGTTAAGCGAAATAGTTATTATAAATGAACATACTGTAACTAGAATCAAGGATACGGATGGGCGGAAGTTGATAGAAGAGAAAAGACACTTGAAAGCGGCGATGTGTATGTCAAGCAATGGACGCAATGTAACCAAAGCTCAGTTGATTACTAGGTGTTCGACAGCGACCACTCCAATCTATGGACACGCACGCCCTAGTACTGTCCGCTAGAGTCCACCAGACTGCCTGCGAAACTGAAACAAATGACTTCATTGAGCGGTGGAAAGCACTTAAACAAAAATTACACGTCCTAGCAGCTAGGAACTGGAAAAGTCAGTAGCTGATGTTAGTCCTTACAAACCATAAACCAATGTGCGTCTTTAAAGGACACATGTGCAAAACGACAAACAGTGGGCCCACTTCAAGAGCAAAAAACTCCAAAGCTATGGATGTGGTGAGGACAAATCTAAGATTACATGGAGATAAGTGTAAATTAAGTAGGTAGAATACGCTGAGGGTAAAGTCGACAGTCGTAAATTAAAAAGTTCGGACAAAAATAATATATTTGACGGGGAACAGAGAAAACGCGAAGACTGGGAGGGGTATACAGTGATGCATTTCCTGCATCAATTTTCAGAATGAGATGTCACACAGATTGAATTCCATGACCGTACGCAACCAGGTTAAAACTAGTAGAAAAGGACCCAAGCATGAAAATGAGACGTGTTGACAGTTATAGGCTCATGATCGTAAGATAGTGAACGTACCAGCTGATGTTGTCGGCGCGTTTGTCGCAATCAGACGTTCCTCATCCTCAGTCTCCCCATCTTCGGTTTCTTCAGTAGTGGCCCACTCACTATCCTCCGCTTCGACGTCCTCGTCCCTTGTTGCTGGTGTGGAGGGGGGGTCGACATCATTCAACCGCGAAAAGGTACTACATAAGGAAGAGCGAGGTGCCTGGGAGTCCGAGCACGCTCCGTTCTGGGCTAAATCGGAGGTGAAACGCGTGGGGAAGTGAAATCACATGAGTCTGGCTAGTAGAGATGTGGGGCATGGGCTCTAAAGCCCAGTACCACACTGCGCAAACATACAAAGAAATGATAAAACCGAAGCCAACCAAAGAGCCTGTGCAAATAGACAAGCTAATACAGTAATGTCACACAGGAATAGCAAAAGAGGACTCGGATAGGTGATAATGCATGAATCAAGAAGGATCAGAGGAACTTGTCTGAATAAAAAGGGCGCCGCTTTTAGGTAGTGAGCAAAGTGTGTCACGTCAGGAACTTTGATCTATGAAATCAAGGGCGTTAAATACTATAATAAAGTCTTCTAGCGTTCGATCTGGTCTATTTCGCGTTCAGCGTCGCGAGGGAAGTTTCGCGATGCTATCCACAGCGTTGGAATCGATTTGCTTATTGACATGTACACATTGCTCGAAGAACAAATCTATGGTAAAACCGCTTGATTAAAACTAATCGCTAAGAGCGCGCACACTACCAGTAAAAACTGCAGTAGCCAGAAAAATCCGTCATGGCTAAGGATATTGGCATGACACCTATGATTGCAACACAAGGGACAAAGGTGGAAAGAGGTACCTCAGTTACACAGTCTAAGAATGGAATGTAAGGTGTATTGGTAGGACCCCTATCACATGTGAAAACTCGCGCAGCAGCGCTCCGAGCCCAGCCCAAAGATCCTGCAAACAACCCACATCCGGAAACACACTACAGTTGAACCATCATCGATAGACATGGCACACAAAGAGGAAAAGTACTGATATCTGTATGACAGAGAGTAGGAGAACGCGACTTCGAGAGATCTGTATGTACAGGAGACACTCGAGACTCCTCAGTGCTTTGTCTTGTCGGTTTGTTGGCAACTGGAGCTCTACTGACAATCTTAGATGCGTCTCGGAGCAAAGTAAACGGACTGATACGGCCAACGAGGCCGAAGAGATGTGATGAATACACGAAACCGGAGAGGTGCAGTAAAAAATCCCCGATATGCATGAGTGTTCGCGCTAATGATGCCGGGTTTTGCTGCCTAGCAATGAGTGAATGACCTTTATCCACACAGTACGTGGTGCAGTGTGATGAGCTGTGCTTTCGGACACAAAACCTCATCAGAAGAGGAAGCAGAGTTGGTCGAATCCACAGGGAAACAGGCTCAATGGCATAGATTTAAATCCTGTAAGTCACTGCTTCAAATGTGATCATGTGATAAAACAAACCAGACAATGTAAGTGATGGTGCAGACAATAGACTGCGTTCGCATTAGTAGTTGAGGACCATCACAAAGGCAACAAGAAAATACAACTCTGGAAGAGCCGATGATAATAGTCACTAACGAAAATGAATGATTCAGGATAATTTTGTTACCGCTGTGTCTAAGCACGAAGAGCTCAATCACCAAAGTGCGTCTCTAACAGAACAAAGGTCGCCTTATCGGAGGCACCCAAATACATTTTTAAAAATTGCAGAGCAGAAGAATCCGATGGGACAAACTGTAACGACTCAACTGCCGTATATAGGGTCGAGATTTGTTAAACGAGTGTGAACAAGTACTAGCGTACAAGCCGCTTAACCAATTCACGCTATCAACATTTATTTCCTGTTGGTGGCTGCGCAGATAGGAAAATCAGTAAGCGTGTAAGCGGATGTTAGCCATGCCAATTCTCTATCTAACTGGGGCAATTAAATCAGTACGCCGAGAGGGAATGAAGAGAAGTGTCGGCACAAGTGCGCGTTAATGATACTGAATAACGGCGGCCCACATCGCACATGCAGTTGGGCATAAACGGTGCCGTACGAATCTGACTAATGGAAGGCCAGTCTAAACTACCTGTGGAGTGACGCACGCCGCACGTGGGGGGACCATGGCTTCCCATGCGAGGGACAACGTGACCGAAGGAATCGAAAAGTCGTATAACGAAAACAAACCACTCCGAAGGTAGAACGTCGTGATGGGCAGTGAAAGGATATTTCAGACGGAAAACATGGGGAAAATAACGTCACAGTATTTGGAAAGTGGAAAAAGCGTATCGAACCGTGGTAGGGTACGTTGACAAAACTAAATCATATGAAGTGGACTTGAACCAAATCGATAGAGCTGGTTTCTGGCCAAACAAAACAAAGTGAACAGTGTTTATACAACTATGACACCAATGGAAAGATGAGTTCCAGAAGAGAACAGGCGCGAAAAACACGTTTCCATTAGTGCCACATGGTTTCTAGTCGAGCTCGGTAAATTCGCCGAGCCCGTTAACTGTCTTGTGAGCAAAACACGAACGAACATAACTGGATTGACTTACCAGATGCAATTGGGTCGGGGTAGCTAGAAGGCAGGTATGCAGTTGGCCAACACTCTACGGAATGAACATCAGAGTTGGCAACTCTGTTTTCAAACAGGCTGACTGAATCGCCGCCTGCGTTCGTGTTGCCCGGACTGGAAGGGTTGACCGTGTCAAACTGAATAGGAATTAGGAAGCAGTACAGCATCGCACGTAAGCAATAGACGAAGTAGTTCCAAGACAGCAGTATAAATAACAACAACAACAAATCGGTACTTTCATACACCAAACGGTTTTTTTTTCAATGTCAAGCCTACGGATAACCGTCACAGCTGTTTGGATCACGGTCCGGACACTCAAATCTGAGGAGAAAGGTCTCGTATCCCGCAATTGAGCCCCGGGTAATACAGCGTTGTGAATAATCGAAATGGATTCGCTCTGGCTTAGTGGCCAAGGCGTACACCGCTAACCACTATGCGTCAGATTCTAATCTCAGCTCAGGTATCGGTAGCTGACGAGTCAAAATCTGAAGGAAACCTAGCAGTCATAGATTGCAGTGATAAAATGGATAAGTTCTGAAACTCTCCACTCCGAATGTAGTCCCAGTGATCCGTTGGCTGCCACAATTCAAAAGTGTTTATGTTGGCAGACTCCAACGGAAAAAGTGCTTTCATTGGCTGGCTGCTGTCGATGAGCTCCGAATTGGTTCCATCCGACCATTCGCTGAAGCTAACGGCACGGAACCAAGCTTCAGATGCATCTACAAGCGAGTTTCCTTAAGAGTTGTTGGGGAAAAATAAGAGGGCAGAAAGCGGAGTTGATGAAGAACGAAAATGCATTGAACGAACACTCAGGAAAAAGGTGGATAAAAGATACCAACAAGTTGTCTCATCAGGCTGAATGTAGTGGGAAGGTTAAGGCGGCATCAGTGACGGAATCTTCTTACAGCCCTTAATAACACGCATCATCAAAATTACGCTAATACTGCACACATTCTAAACGGACGATATATATAGAAACAAGTGCGAATAAAACATTGATTGTGTATGCGAGCCATGTCCTACAAAGGCTTGAGCCAAGCACAAACTGCAGCACCTGGGTTCAAAAATGGGAAGCGAAACGGATCAGTAGCACCCAACTTAGCAGTCATCCAGCGTAAGCTCAAAGGATGCTCCTACCTAGAGCGCTAGGATCTTTCGGATCCAATAAATGTAAAACCAGAGCAAACAGTGCGCCGGAATACGTTGAAGCAATACCGCTAAACCCTTATCCGAGCACTTATCGATGAAGATGCACTGATATAATTTGATACCTGTGATGCTCTGCAGGCAACGATGACCTAAAAGATGAACGTGACTCAGGTCCTCGGATCGATCCTGTAATCGCTGAATGCAACACAGTAGCACAAACAACTCACGTCGCGGGAATCGGCATGCATAACCAATGTCCCATTCATCGGAGCATGGTACGCGACTAAACGGTACAGACCAGTTCACTTCCTCCTCTTGTACCATAAACAAGGTGCCGGACATACTTAATGCGCAGGGTGTTCGCACCAGATGTCGGCTAAGCTGCGAACGTAGCGATTGTCGAAAATAACAAGCCACTTTAGGTGTATCAATTGAGAGACCGGATTCCATAACTGTGGAAAACGGTCAAACTGACGGTTGCACTGTAGACTCCACTCTTCAGGGTAAGGGTGATGTCGTACCGGTTGCACAGATGACGAAGACTGGCAAAGTCCCTCGAATCTGTTACGCGGATCGTGACTTCATCTATCCCACAGACTATGAGACAGCTATCCAGGTAGTCGAATTTCTGAACGACTTCTAGCGGGTCCTCACCAAGGGTCAGCACAGGGGGCGTTCCCTGCTAATCTTGGGAGAAAGCTTTATAGGGTGAAAAGCACAAATCGAAACGACTGACAGATAGTAATAGTCTATTCGACGCCGGTTGGCATGTTTGTGAGATGTTAGAAACTAGGGTAGTATTGTCGGCATACTTCAAGTCAAGAAGTCGCTCAACTAGGAGCACCTCCATACATTGTACGTGCTGTCTAGTGAACGCACCTTCCATGACTTCGTCAATAGGAAATGTGACAGCGGGCATTCCTTTATCATACCGAACAGCGGCGAGAGCTTGCCATAAGCTCCCGTTCTGCCCGAACTACGCGCATAAAACACTCGGGCAATATTTATATATTACTTGGGTATACCTTTCCCGAGTAAACAGTCCCCAAAAGCACACTGATTCACTGAATCGAAGGCACCTTTGAAGTCGAGGTACACGAATACGGTGTGTCGCCAATATATGCAGTATTGCTCCAACAATTGATGTAGAGTGAAGATGTTGGTCAATGAAGCCTCAAAGGTGACTTTTACGGAAGCAAGTAACTTAGAAATCATGTAGACCGAAAGTGAAGCTCTACGGAAAAGCTGGACAATAACGGAGCAGATTCAAATCGGTTGGGATAGTTTCCTGCTCCCACAGTTTCACTAATATAACGTGTAAACCCTCCACGAGAGCTGGTCCCCAGAAGTGGAAGAGAGCAGGAAAACATTTATATGACTCTACAGCAGTATAAATTCAGTAATCCAATCTCACGTTTGACTTATGCGAGAGAGTGAGAGAGAAAGGGGGACACAGATGCAAAGGGATAGCCAAGGGAGCAGAGTGATCACTGGTCTGCAGCGGATCCGAAAGTTATAAGCAACGAAACAGCCTTTCAAAGTGCTCAGTCAAACGGTCCAAGTGTTTCGATACATTGTGGATAGGTTGGCCACTCTCGTCTCACACAGTCTCTAACATATTCAGATGGTTACTAAGGATAACGTCCATTTGCAACTACGATGCACAATGAGACTAGACGGCTTTATTGTCTCTCTCGTCAGACCGGCAGACATTTTGTCTTGGGGTTTTTGCGAGTCTTGTTGTCTTCGATTCTAGCCCGAATGTGCTGGTGAGCAACCGTAAGTTCTAGAGCCTGTGCGGAAACTGTGTCCAGATTGGTAACCAGATGAACGAATACCTGCAGCTAACGCCAATCAACACAAAAAATGCTCGCTGATAAAAAGGGTGATACGATGAGGTGAAACGGCACCGCGTCAGGGATATCCCCATGTCGATGGGGACAACTCCCACACGCAACTAAAAAAGATGATACCTGTGGTAAAAGCACGGAGTAAATGAGTATAGCCTAAACAGACAGCAGCGACAGTTTTGTTAACAAGATATACGCAAGCCAATGGTTTGACTTGGAAGCCTTCGAACAACCATCAGGCCAGTCGCGGAATGGGAGTTGAGCGAAGGATGGTCCAAACTAAGCAGCATATTCCCATTGCGAGATACCAGTACAAAGAGACCGAGTTAACATGTTCCAAATGGGAAGTGAACAAAATGTCCGGGATGCTACAGTTCATAAAAGCTTGAGTGACCTTAAACTCACATAGAGCGAACTCAAGGAATAGGGGGTAAACAAGAACATGTGGGAAGTGACAGAGCTGGATAAGCACGATTGGAACCCTCATTACTGAGAATTGAAGATTTCGAATGCAACGAAACGCTATGTCGACGATATCTTAGCGTTCTGTTCAACAGAAGTGCAGATCACACAACTGGTAACGCGCTTTACTTCCTCGCATGTCAATTTGGGAGTTTCTTGCGTAGTCCAACAACAGAATTGTCTTACATATTTGGATGTTCTCTTCAGCCGCAGGTAGAACGGACAGGCATAAAGGTCTGTATACCGAAAAACAATGTGCTTTAGCAGATGTCTGCTTCACGATAATGCGGTACAAAAGGACGCTTGTCAAAACCCTAGTTAGTCGCGCTAGACAAATATGTTCCACCGATCGTGTGGCCAATGGACTAGAGCCAATTACCAACACACTAATTATAAATGGCTATCCTGAAATTCATTCAGAAGCACAGCTAAATCCGTGAAATGAGAGGTGCTGTACCTAGCGTGCCTAAGAAAAAGATCTTCCTAGAGCTGCCCTATAAAGATGATATTGCTTCATTGAGGGCAACAAGACTTCTGACTTCTGCTACACAGAACACTATCTGTGTTTCTGAAGTGGCAATCATCGACGGAACGCGTAAGTTGCCGCTGCCTACACTGAAGGAAACAGCCTACCGCAGTCAACTCCCATTGCGTAGATTAATTTGTATGTAACTACGGAGCTAGTTACATGGGCAGGACCGATAGGTATGAGCCAAAATGGGTTCAGTGCGAGATTGTGCAACAAGCAAGCCCAAGTCGAACTACGTGTATACGCAAGCCGTCGGAATCTTCGATCGGCAGACACTTGTTGACCACAGGTAACCGAATTGAAGTCAACAAGGCGTTTAGGATCCTGATTTGCCAAACCAATTCCAGGCTCCTCCAGTTCGCTGAGGTCGGTATCATACATCGGATTGGGCCAGTGCTTGGGTGTGAAAGCAAGTACCGGTCAGCCTAAGGCTGACCTGCTTGTAGGATGAAGACTTCCACTGTTCCTCTCGTTTGTCTGTATGTATGTTTGCACCCTCAAAACGGTGCATATAACTATCGTTATGGGTATTGATGGGACGGTACAAAATGCATGTATCTGCCGAACTTCGTCTTCTTACTGTACCTTTCAAATTACTGAGGGGAACTAACTGTTTTAAAATTCGGAAGCATACCAAACGAATAACGGTAAGCCGAACTAACGGACCCATTGGACAATCAAACCGACAGGGCGAAGGTGAATGAAGAAAAATGCACTGAAATAATTATAAATTAGTGAACCCGATCATTCATTGGTTTCCAGCAGCCTGACTAACAATATGAATTCACGTAGTGAGAGAATGAGGCTGGATCGGTAATCCCTTCTATCGGAAAAGCTTAGAAAAGTGAAAACCACACAGCGTAAAGAATAGGAAAGATAAAGGTAGATTTGTGCACTTGTTCCATCCAATACTAGGTGGCTCTCCTGAATGTCTAGAGAAATATGTCTGCAGTGTTGGCCAATGGTTAAAGGAAGGACTAGCTCAGTGTCATGATTCTCCAGGGTAAAGATGGGAAATGGAGGGGCAGCCAACTTGAAGACCAATGCGACTTGTAAGTAAGAGTTTGCGCAAAGGATGTCAGTTGGAAACCCTGGTCGTCCAACTACCTAGGATTAGCACAGCCTGTATGACAGCGAAAAATCGGCA